CTCATTACTCTGCAGGTATCATCAGTTTCAGCAGCTCCAGGAACTGTCTTGCCAACCATGACTACTGTTAACAGGATCATATTTTGCTGCTATACTGGAAACAGACGTTTATCCAAATAGCTTCCAAAAAGCTGTGAAGCAGTGCAAGTTACCACAGAGAAACCAACTTAGACTCTTAGGAAGTTTGACTGAGAGCCACCACCTCCCCATTTTTATAGTCCAATAGCGGGATGGGCCATTAATGACGCAACTGGTCCAATATGAAATGACAGCCATGTCCTACCAATCTAAACGTAGGCTGGTGTCATGTAAGGCTTTGTCAGAAGGAAATGCCCAGAAACAGACAGTGTCAACAAATACCATGAAACAGAGAAGGCTTCTGTGGTCTGGGAGATAGGAACGTATAATCAAGCTGGCTTCAGCTTTGACTTACATAGCCAGGACTCCTGTCAGATTTTTCTGAGGGATATCATTTTAAACTTCTCATTTACTATCAACTTTAGTTTGTTAAGATCCAGAAAAGGTATTTCACAAATACATTTCTTTAGAATGAGGAATACAAGGGAGAAGGTTTTGCCCAGCTCAACTTGGAGGACACATACTATCTGTCTGGTTAAACTAGGAGAAACTTGGAAAAGGATGCCATGGTCTCTAGGGTGATGAAGTTCTGACAATCTGAATGGGGAAGTACTGAAACAAGTACTCCAAACTAGATGTTATTGAGTTCAATCACCTACCTCTAAGTCCAGCAAAAGCTGAGGAAAAAGTTGTAGCTCAAGTCTTGATGATATATTGGGAGATACGGTAAGTCAAGAAAGACTCAATTCTTAAAAAGACTGCTCTTTATGTAATACTGAGGTCTTCTACTGATGGAGGATTTAATCACCCTCTACAGCAAAAACTAACGCTGGAAACAATAATCTATAATTCTAGTCCTAGGTCAGAAATGTGGGTACATTGGCCTATAGCCAAAAGAAGGAAATGCTATTGATAGGTTACTGGAGGCCTTCAATATCACCATTTTGGGAAAAGACATGAATGGCAATAACAAAAACTATTACATCTTTCATAACTGCGTTGTTACGGAGGAATCATTCCACTTTCTAATACTAGTCAGATTCAGATCTGTTGGTCTAACTGCTCACCCTATGTAAAAATCCTTTCTACAACATCTCTGAAAGATGTCAATCCAGCCACTCGCTGGACCCTTCCAGCCTACTTCAGTGCTGAACAGATTGGTAAATGTAGTCTGACTCCTTGTAACCTTTCACCTGCTGGCCCTAGTTTTGATTACCGAAGCCACACAAGTCATATCCAATCACTTTTCTACTACTTGACCATCTGTCTCATATGTGAAGACAGTAACATTGTCTAATCTTAGTATTCTTTCATCTTTAGAATAAGTAATTCTAGTTTCATATCTGTTGATTGTATAATAAATTCCAGATGCCCTAATTTCACTTCCCTCCTCTGAAAAAAAAAATCCTCATTATATGCAATTCACACAACTGAATACAATAACCAAAGTTCAATTTGACTGGTCCAATGTACATGGCTGAGCAGCACAGTACAAATACATAACAAACTACAAATACAAAACAAGTGTTACCTTGTTTAGCTAGAACTCTACAATGCAAGCTCTTTTTATTTAAGCTTATTTAAGATTCTCAAGCCATGGAATTCTGTTCCCCCCACTCCTCTACCCTGAGTTCTAAGATTCTAGAGAATGCTATATATTTCTTTTCTTTGGCTATGATGGACAAGATGACTTTCTCACAAAGTTTGCCCCTCTTCTTTTTCCGAAGAAGGTTCAGAGAAGCAATCTCCTTTACTGAAATCCGCTGTTTTCTATGGGATTACACTGCCACGAGTTTCAGATGCTATTGCTTTTAGCAAAATTACAGATGCAGCCTCCCTACCACCAACTTGCCTCTACAAGTTTTGTGATGTGTCACACAAAAAAATCATTCATATCCTGTGTGTTGGGGGGGAGGGAGGGCTGGCAGCAGGGGGATTACAGAGGAAACAATTTTTCTCATAAGAAATGATGTTTTAAAGCATACTTATCTAAAAGAGATGTAATCTAGTTCAATAATAAAAAACTCCTAATAAAACAAAATTTCCTGTTTATGTTGATTAACAGAAGAACTTAACTCCTCTGGGGCTGGCAATTGATTATTCTTTTAAGTGAATCAAATATTTTCGATGAAAAGATTAAACTGGGGGCCGGCCCTGTGGCTAAGTGGTTAAGTTCACACGCTCCGCTTCGGCAGCCCAGGGTTTTGCTGGTTCAGATCCTGGGCACAGACCTAGCACCACTCATCAAGCCACGCTGAAGCGGCATCCCACATGCCACACCAACTAAAATACACTACTATATACTCGGGGGGGCTTTGAGGAGAAGGAGAAAAAAAAAGACTAAACTGTTCCTCTATTACGATTCATATTCCTTCATCTGCACAAACCTCTCATTCCTGTTCTCTGAAAATCAAAGCAAAAAGACAAAAACATGCCTCCCCTCCCCCAATAAAACCTCCAAACTTTAAGTGGCTGGAAAAAAAAAAGATTTTTTTCTCCTATAGCTTACTCTATAATGTACAAACACAAAAAACTGCTTGGTCAGGCAGCTACAAAGTCCCACGCCTATGCTGAGCTTCCAACGGCATGCTTACATGCGCTTTAACATGACTGATAAGTGGCTACCTACAAAAGAGATCACAAAATGTATTCTCCATATGTTAAGAGAAAATGCAGCCAGATGTATTTATTTAAAAATTAAGTTCTCTTTCATTAATCTAATTAATAATTGAGATCAAATTTACCAAGCTAATTTTAAAAAGTTTCTTCTTATGTGCCTGGGTTTAAATGCAGGGCTTCAAAGCTCTGGTTTAATGTAGACAATTAGTAACTTTCATTTTATTACTTTCTTCGTACACCCTAAATTCTTAATCTTATAACCTGTACCTGATAATCTGGGTAAACTGTGAGGGGTGGGTTGGTTCCTAAAGTAAGTTTTCCATTTCAGTCTGAACAAACCACGTGAAATCTATGTAAAAAGTACTCTGAAACACTAGGACAGAATTGAGGGTGGGATGGTGGGGGAGGAACAAGGTCAATAAGAAGCTAATCCCATAACCTTAAACCTCTAAATATTACTATTTTCAGATATGAACTCACTAATACACCAAATTCTTGAAAGGTAGCAACTAAGATCTTACCTGGTTATTTTTATCCCACGGATCAAGTGAACAGAATCTAAGTAACACTACCCTTTGGATTGCATATCAGTTGGTTATAACAGTTTGCCAAATCAGTTGTTTAAAGGTTGACCACATGGTCAAGCAGGACAATCCACATTAGCTGAGGAAAAGCAGCAGCAATCACAAAAATCTTAGGCTAAATGGCTAAAGAGGTGAGATTTGACTTTAGTATTCTTCTCCCTTCCCTTTCTGCTGACTCTTTCTTGTTCTCCTGCCAATGGTTCCCCAAACTTTTTCCCTTAAAAAGACACCCCAATGGGAACCCAGCAAAGTTGCAACTGATCAAGAAAGCATACCTCCTAGTAATATTTACATTTTAAAACAAGTATAGGTTAAAGCAAACAAATCTCCAATTGGTAAAAACTGTCAAAGCAATGTCTGTGAACAAGGAAATTTTTATGTTTCTTCTCTGCTCATCATTCCTACTCCAAAAAAACAGAGAGCTTTAAAACCTATCCTTTTGCTTTTGCCAAAAATTACTTTAAACAATTATGTAATATACAAAATGAAAAACCAGGATTATGAGAAGCATGAGAATCTCCTCCCATTTTCCATCATGCATGCCTCACTTGATAGAGACAGTCGCATGTTTCCTCATGGCGCAAAGTATAAATGCTTTATAGAAATCAGCTGTGTGTCCCATCTCTAGTTCTCTTAAATTCTTTAATTAAATTGAATACGTTTGTATCATAGTGAACCTGCTAAATATTAAAAGAAAGTAATTCAAACGATCTAAATCTCAGAATGAAGTGAGGTTAGTCCCAATTTAGATTCTAGATCCAAGCTAAAGTACCCGCATCATCTTTCCTCTCATCTCACTACTTTCACCTCAACTTGTGTGTGGGGGGCAGACTACCCGCCCGCACCCAGCTCGAGTCAGATCTCAGTTCTCCCAAACTCGACTATTTCCAGTTCTAGTCTCTCCAGAAACTTGCTAATGACTATCCTGATAAACCCATTCACGCTAACGTGTCAATGGTCAATTAAGCTACTCCTCCCAAATTACATCCTTGCATTTTACAAGGGCCTTTAAGCCCTTAACCCAAAGGACTGATAAGAGTTAAATAGTGCAACCCGTAAGAACGATAAACTTTGGAGAAAATTGGCCTTTCAAATCGCAAGGTGTACTACGTCCCGTACTCCCTCTTGTGTGTGGAGGCCTTTGAGGGTAGCAAGACCGGAAGTTGGTACAGGTATTGTTGATACAAAACAAAGCAGGCAAAAAAAACTTCCAGCGAGCGCGGCACGCTCGCCCCCTGGCCCAATCTCTTCTGTCCTCACTCGACGAGAGGGAAATGACCACGACGGCAGTCCTGGGGGAAGCCGGGGGCACAGGAGCGCCGTGTCTGGTTTGGGGCCTGCGAGCGCGGGTGCGCAGGTGGGGTCCGCGGCGAGGCGACGCGGCGCTGGCTCCGGTTACCTGCGGCGAAGTGGAGCGGGGTGGACTTCCTGCCCGCCGTGTCGCGGCTGTTCACCTTCTCGGGCGTCACCAGCCTCTTGACTCGCTCCACGTCCCCGTTGCGGCACGCCTCGAACAGCTCGCGAGCGGCCGGCTCCACGGCCTCGGCCGCCGCGCCCGCACAGGCCGCGCCCCCGCCGGCGCAGCGGCGGCCCGACATGATCCTGGCCGCCGCCGCCGCCAGCAGCAACGCCAGCAACGGCAGCAGGAGCCCCGGCCCCGCGAGCAGGAGGGCGAGGCCCCCGGGAGGAGACGCGCTCAGGGCCCGGGCCGCTCGGCTCCCTCCTGTCACCGGGCTCGGCGCAGTCCCATGGCCGCGCCGCCGCGCGCTCCTCGCTCGGCCCTGCAACCCCCGGCTGCCCCGCGGCAGAGCGAACCCGCCGTTCGAGCCCTGAGGCGACGCGGCGGCGGAAGCTGGTGAGGCCCCTCCTGCCAGCTCCGCGGAGCCCTGGGAGCGCACGTGACGTCCTGCCGCGCGTGCGCAGTGTTCCGAGCCGCGCCGGGCTGGTTTCGGCGAACAGGGCCGCGCCGAGGGGTTTGTGGGAAATGTGCGGCGAAAGCCTTGGCGGCGGGAGGAGAAGGGGCTTCGGCCCACCGCCATGTTTGCGGTGGCGTCTGGTGACGTCGAGCGACTGGGAGCGAGTGTGCTTATTTTGTTTTTTTAAGGCACGGAATTCCCAAGCTGAATTCTCTTATTGTTACACTGAAAAGTGCCTTTGAAAGTTTTTCCCCATCTTGCATGTTATTTTGAAATTTTTACTGTGGAAATTTTCTGTTTTTTCAGCCTCCACAATCTCTTTCTCCTGGGGCATTTCTTATTTCTTTACTGTCTCTTCCATTCCTCCGCAACTGCTATTTTGTTGTTTCTTGTAAGCTGCTTCTTGGAAATGAATGAGTCGCTCTCTACCTGATGGGAAGTTTGGATGAGCGGCCCTAAGATCATTTAAAGGAAATTAGGGAACCGATGAAAGTTTGTTCCAATTCTGAATTAACAATAATCATCCGATAGTCATCTGATTAATTACTCTTTCCGTAGTTTATTAGCTCAGGACTCACTAAAGGGCCCATACGTAAATCAGTATTATACTGACTTGGATGAGGTGTGGATACACTGGGTATACGCATCGCCGACGAAATTTAATGAGTTGCAATTCTTCTTGTTTTTTTTGACCATTGAAGCAAGAAAAGCACTCGGTTAATTCTCACGCTTAAGGTAGTGATGTGGCTGTTTTGATCATTCCCTACTCTCCATGCCCTGGCCTCAAGAAACTGTTTAAAAGAAAGGTAGTCTTACGTAAAATGATACGTGTTGACCTTTGGCACACTGACAGGCATTTCCTCCCCTGTTATTTTAACTTCTTAACCTGTTTTTCAGGAAATTCAGTTTTTGTTTGGGAACGTTGACTCACTAATGTGCTAAAAGATAGAGCATGTACACTTTGGGAGCATTTTTGTAAATATGTAACTTACATAATTATATAAGTACATAATAAAATATTTAGTATAAATTTATGTTATTAATATTAATAAATATCCATGAATGCACCTAAGAACTAGAACATGACCAACACAATTGCATCTACCGTTTTTTTTCCAGTTTCATCCGCTTGCCAAATGCATTTCCTTAGAGATTGGCACCTGAGTTAACATCTGTTGCGGATCTGTTTTTCTTTTTCTTCTCCCCAAAGCCTCCTAGTACATAGTTGTATATTCTAGCTGTAGGTCCTGCTGGTTGTGGCATGTGGGACACTGCCTCAGCATGGCTTGAGGTGCAGTGCCATGTCTGCGCCTAGGATCCAAACCACTGAAACCCCCGGGCCTCCAAAGTGGACTTCAGAGGGAGCTTAAGCACTTGGCCACGGGGCTGGCCCTCCAAATGTATTTCCAATTTTGTTTATCATTCCCAATTTACTAATTTGCACTTATTAATCCCTTCCCATGTGTGTATCCATCAACAACATATTGTTCAATTTTACGTGCGTGTTTTTGAGCTTTATAAAAATACCAGTCTTTGTGATTTTTTCGCTTAAGAAGACATTTGTAAGACTCGTGCATTCATTTTCATTGCTTTATAGAGTTGCCTTGTGTGAATATACCATAAATTTACAATCCTCCTGGCCATTTGGTTTCATTCCAATTTTTTTTATTGTGAACAGTAAAACAGGAACATTCTTATACATCCTCCTGGTGCACCTGTGCAACAATTTAATGTGAGAGGCTTTCAGACTTTTGACTACTACCCATAGTATAAGAAATGCTGTTAGTGTCTTCAACTGGTAAACACACTCACATATATAAAACAAAAACTTTGCAAAATAATAAAACAATATTCACCTCTCCAGTCTTTAAAAAAATGGTAATTGTAACTCTGAGTAAATGGATTACAGAACTCACAAATGAGTGCTTACCCAGAGTTTGAAAAACACTGCAGAAATGGACTACCTAGGAGTGGAATTACTGAGTCATAGGGAACTAGAATGTTCACTTTACAAGGTAATGCCAAATTGTTTTTCAAAGAGATTGTGAATAATGTGCACGCCCACCAGCAGCATGTAGGAGTTTTCTAAATCTGTGTCCCCATCAACTCTTGGTATTGTCAGATTAATTCTTCCAGTATAGTGGGTGTAAATGGTATTTCAAAGAGGTCTTGGGCTGCATTTTAAAAATATCTAATGAATGTTAGAGAAATGTAAATCAAAACCACAATGAGATATTACTGCACATCCGTTGGGATGACTGCTATCAAAAAAACAAGACAATGTTGATGAGGATGTGGAGAAATTGGAATGCTTGTGCACTGCTGGTAGGGCTGTAAAATAGTGCAACTGCTATGGAAAACAGTATGGAAGTTCCTCAAAAAATTTTAAATAGAACTACTATGTGATCCAGTAATCCCACTTCTAGGCATATATACAGGAGAGTTGAAAGTAGGGTCTGGAAGAGATATTTTCACATTCACGTTCATAGCAGCATTGTCCATAATAGGCAAGAGGTGGAAGCAACCCAAGGGTCCACAAACAGATGAATGGATAAACAAAAGTAGTATATACATATGGTAGAATATTATTAAGCTTTAAAAAAAAGAAGGAAATCCTGGCATATGCTACAACATTGATGAACCCTGAGGACATTATGCTAAGTGAAATAAGTCAGTCACAGAAAGACAAATACTGTATGATTCCACTTATGTGAAGTGTATTTGTTTGTTAGGGCTGCCATAATAAAATACTACAGAATGGGTGGCTTAAACAATGAAATTTATTTTCTACAGTTTTTGAGGCTAGAAGTCCAAGATCAAGGTGTTGACAGCTTTGATTTTCCTGAGGCCTCTTTCTTGGACTTGCTTATAGTCATCTTCTGGCTGTGTCCTCACATGGCCTTTCCTCTTTTCATGTGCATCTCTTGTGTCTATGTGTCCAAATTTTCTCTTTTTATAAGAGGACAGCAGTCAGATTGGATTAGGGTCCACCCATATGGCCTTATTTAAGCTTAATTTCCTCTTTAAAGGCCCTATCTCAAAATATTGTCACATTTAGAGGTACTAGGCGTTACGGCTTCAATACATGAATTTAAGGGAGGCCACAATTCAGCCCATAACATGAGGTATCTGATGTAGATGGATAGAAAGCAGAGTGGTGGTTACCAGGGGCTGGGGAGAAGAGGAAATGGGAAATTTATTGTTAATTGGGTATGGAGGTTCAGTTTTGCAAGATGAAAAAGTTCTGCAGATCTGTTGCATAACAATGTGAATATACTTAATGCTACTGAATTGTACACTTAAAAATGGCATAAAAATGCAAATAAAGTTGAGTGTCTTTTCAGATGTTTATGGTCTATTTATATTTTCCTCTTCAGGTAAATACTTATTTGTGTCTTTTGCCCATTTTCCTATTGGGTTGTTTGCCTTTTGCTGTTGACTTGTGAGCATTCTTTATATATTCTGGATACTAATCCTTTGTCAGTTATATGTGTTGGAAATATCTTCTCCCAGTTTGTAGCTTGCTTTTTTATTTTCCGAATGAAAAGATGCCTCAACTTTAATATAGTTGAATTTACAAATATTTTCGCTTAGAGTTTATGTCTCTGTGTGTGTTTGTGTGTGTTTACTTAAGAAATTATTTTCTTCTGAAAGTTTAAATTTTTGCCTTTTACATTTAAGTCCTTAATCCTTCTGGACTTGATTTTGGAGTATGGTATGAGATAGATATTTAATTTCTTTTCTTTTTCTTTTTTTCCAAATAGATAACATATTGTCCTACCACCGTTTATTAAGAACGCCTACCTTTCAGAAGAGAGCTGCAGTGCCACTTCAAGCTTCCATATATTCATGAGTCGGATTCTGGACTCGATTTCATTCCATTAATTGATTTGTATAGCCCTCCTTTAATACATCGTAATACATCCTCCAATTCTATCTTACCAGCTTAGTAATCAATTTTGATACCTAATAGGACAAATCTCACAACTTATTCTTTTTTGATTTTTCAAGATTTTGCTCTCCCATATAAATTTTGGAATCAGAGTCTCACGTTCCTTGAAAACCCCATGGGGGTTTTGATGAGACTTGCCTTGAATTTACAGATCAATTTAGGGAGAATTGCTACATTAAGGACATTGAATTCTCCTATCTTTGAACATGGCATATCTCTCTATTTATTTAGGTCTTCTTTAATGAATTTCAATAAAGTTTTGTACTTTCCTTCATATAGATCTTGCACTTCCTAGTTTTATTACTATCGTAAATTTTTTTGAGTATGACTTATCAAACCACTGTAAAAAGGCATTTTTGAAGCACTTGGAGACATTTTAATATGGACTGGATATTAGGTAATAATAAGGTATTGATGTTAATTTGGTTAGGTTAATATGTTAACATAGTATTCATCAGGGTAAAAAGAAGAAAAGGCCTTTATCAGAAATTCATACTTAAAGTGACATGATGTTTTGTTTGTTTGAAATGGTTGATAAAAATAATTTAAAATAGTTCATTAAAAAATGAGGGAAGAGGTAAAAGAAGAATGGCAAAATATTGATAATTATTGAAGCTAGGTAATGGATACATGGGAGTTCATTATACTGTTCTCTCTATTTTTGTGTATATTTGAAATTGTCCATAATAGACTTTAAAATTGTATTTTCTAATCATTCTTTGCAGGCTTACGTATATGTATGTATGTATGTATATATGTATATATACATATGCACACACAGTCTTATCATTTGTGAATGTGAATTGTGAAAAAAGTTTCTCCTTTTCCAATCCTAGGCCTTACTGGGTTGGCTGAGACCTCTAATGTATTGTTGAATAAAAATGTTGATATTAGGCATGCTTGTCTTGTTCTGGTTTTTAAAGGGGCATCTAACTTTTTACTGCTAAGAATAACGTTTTAAAAAAATATTGTTTTCAGTAGTGTTTTGGTAGTTACACTTTTTTAAGGTAAAAGAGGTTTCTTTCTATTTGCACTTTGCTAAGAATTGTTATCATGAATAGATGTTGAATTTTATGAAATGCTTCCTTATTTGTTGTTTTTATCATAATTGGATGTTGAATTTTATCAAATGTTTTTTTCCTACATCTAGGAAATGCATTGAGATGCATTTTTTTCTTCTTTAATTTATTCACATAGTCAATTATATTTATGGATTTTCTAATGTCAAACCAATCAATAATTTAAAATTTTCACACAAAGTAAACATCGAGTCTAGAGAGTTGTTCAGGCAAATCCTACCAAAGTTTCATAGAATAGCTAATTTTAATCTTGTTCCAGAGACTAGAAAAAGAGGAAATACTCCCTAACTCAATGAAGCTGGAAAGGACAAGAAAGGAAAATTACAGGCCGCTTTCAATCAGGAACTTAGATGTAAAACTCCTAAATAGAATATAAGCTAACAGAATCCAGAAAAGATGATGTAGAACCAGCTGGTACTTGAAAAGAAATACTCAAAACAAACAAATAAGCACAGAACAAATAGCTCCAGAGGTGTTTATATGTATAATTAAAGCAACTGTGGGACTGAGTCTGCCAGCACATTTCTTAATTTTAAACAGGATGCTTTCCCTTGCCAGCCTTTATTTTTCCCTTCATTAAGAGAGAAGGGAACAGCTTGGACTTGGAAACAGTGAGTTAGAACAGAAATAAGAAGGTGGCAGAAAAAGACAATACCAGGTTGAATAGTGTCCTCCCCAAGTTCGTATCCTCCCGGAACCTCAGAATGTGACCATGTGAGCGTGGAGGCAGAAACTGGAGTGATGCATCTACAAGCCAAGGAATTGCAAGGATTGCAGGCAACCACTGGAAGTTAGAAGCGGCAAGGAAGTAGGCCCCCAATAGCCTTCAGAGTGAGCAGGGCTCTGCCAATTCCTTGATTCCAGACGTCTAATCTCCAGAATTGTGAGAGAATAAATTTCTCTTGTTACAAAACACCCAATTTGTATGACTTTGTTATGGCAGCCCTAGGACACTACTAACAAATTATGGTACCGCAAAGTGGGGTGCTGCTGTAACAAATACCTAAAAATATGGAAGTGGCTTGGGAATTGGGTAATGGGTACAGACTGGAAGAATTTTTAAGTGCGTGACAGAAAAAGCCTAGATTGCCTTGAACAGATTGTTGGTAGAAATATAGAAGTTAAGGGCAATTCTGGTGAGGGCCCAGAAAGAAGAGAGAACTGTAGAGAAAGCCTCTATTGTCTTGGGTCATACACATATCATTACTAACAGAATTTTGCTGGAAATGTGAGTGATAAAGTGTTTCTGCTGAGGTCCCAGAGGGAAATGACAAACATGTTATTGGACACCAGAGGAAAGGTAATCCTCATTATTAAGCAGCAGAAAACTTGGCTGAATTATGTCCTGCTATTGGGTGAAAGTAGAATTTATAAGAGATGAACTTGAATATTTAGCTGAGGAGACTTCCAAGCAACACTGGGAAGGTGCAGACTGGTTTCGCCTTAGAACTTATAGTAAAATGAGTAAAGAAAGAGATAAATTGAAAAATGAACTGTTTAGGAAAGAGGAACTTGAACTGGATGATTTGGGAAATTCTTAGCCTGCTGAGATGGCATGTTCTGGAAACAGGGCCAAGGTTGTGGCTGGACGACCGTTTGCTATAGAGATCAGGTGTGTGATTTATGGATCCAAACAACCGCATTAGCAGCAGCCAGCAGTAGAGACAATCATAGTATTTTCCTCACTGCCTCTCAACTATCAAGCCAGTGCCACACAAATTTAGGTTTTCTTTTGCAACACTCAACTTCAAGGTATTAATTTCTGTATTAATTAAGATAATACTAGAAATCCATCAAAACTTCAGTAGCTTAATACAATAGAAATTTATTTCTCACACACAAAGCCTATGTGATAGGGCTGTGGGGAAGGGAGGTTTTTCTCCACAAGGTCATTCAGGGACCTAGCTTTCCCCTAAGTTCCTTCTAAGGCTGCTTGACTATATCAGTAGTTCACATTGAGATGTGCTGCAAGTCTAAAATATATATTCATTAATAGATCTCATTAATATTAATTACATATTGGAATGATAATATTTTGGCTATATTGGGTTAAAGAACATACATTGCTAGAATCAATTTTACCTGCTACTGTTTATTTTTTAAATGCGGCTACTAGAAAATTTAGAACAACAAAAAGTTACCACTTTACATATGTTAGAATGACCAAAATTAGGAAGTAAGATGTGGAGAGGATATGGGAAAACCAGAATCCTCTTGTACTGTCTATAAAATAGAGACTTGTTCAGTTATTCTAGAGAGCAATCTAGCAGTATTTGATGGAATTAGTTACGCTTATGAACATACGTATTTAAAGTTATATATGTGGCTTGTATTATGTTTTTATGTAGTGCTAGTCTAGATCAGAGGTTGGCAGATTTTGGTCCATGGGCCAAATTTGGCCTGCCACTTGCTTTCGTAAATAAAGTTTTGTTGGAACATAGCCATACCCATTCATTTATGTCTTGTCCTGGGCTATTTTGTTCTACAATAGCGGAGTTGAGTAGTTGCAACAGATTCGTTCCCAAAGTCTAAAGCATTAAGTGTCTGGCTTTTTACAGGAAAAGCTTGCTGACCCATGGTCTAGGTTATTGAAACTGTGTCGTTGTTTTCCTTGCAAATATCTTCTGCAAATGGAATCCTTGGCTGTTAACTCTGTCTGTGGTTTCCTTTGCTGAAAAAAAAAATCCTTTATTTTAATAAAGTCAAATCCTTTAATTTTTACCTTATGGCTTGTGCTTTGTGGGTCTTGTTTAAGAAATTCCTCCCTTATCAACTGTCACAAAGCTATAATCTTTCATTTTCTTAGCCTTTCACATGTAGGCCTTTGATATCAAGTTTACCTTTTCTATTGGTGTGAAGTTGCGATCAAAATTAATGATAAACTATTTTCCCAACAGCACCCATTAAATAATCTGTTCTTTTCCCATTGTAATATGATGTTACCTAAAATTCTTACTTCATTCTGTAATTTTGGGCAAGTTCTGTGTTTCAGTTACCTCATCTTTAAAATGGTGATAATAACAGTAGTTATCTTAAAGGTGACAGGGCAGCTTAAAGGTACTGTTACAACTAACACACTTAGAACAGTGCCTGGTACATAAAAAGTCTATGATAAGTGTAGGCTATTACTATTTGTATTGGCTGTTTCTGTGATATCATGTTTTTTTCATGGCAGGTGGCAGATATGCAAGAGAAGCCAAGCCACGAAACACACGTAAAACCTCTGCTCGTGTCACGTTCACTCATATTCCATTAACCAAAGCAAGTCCTAGGGCCAAGGCCCAAATCAGTGGGGCAAGGATACTTGTCCATAGTGAAACTATGGCAGGGGCCAAAGACAAAGGAAGAATTGTGACAAATAGTATTATCTTCCATATTATTGTTGCCGCTGTTCCTTCTTTTTTGGTGAGGAAGATTAGCCTTGAGCTAACATCTGTTACCAATCTTCCTCTTTTTTTGTTTTCCCCAAAGCCCTAGTACATAGTTGCACATCCTAGTTTTAGGTCATTCTAGCTCTTCCATGTGGGCTGTTGCCACAACATGCATAGATGAGCAGTGTGTAAGTCCGTGCCCAGGATCCGAACCGGCAAACCCCGGGCTGCCAAAGCAGAGCATGAACTTAGCTATTCAGCCATGGGACCGGCCCCTTCTGTTCTTCTTATTATTTACAAAATTCCCATACGTGAATGCATGGGTCTGTTTTTGAGTTTTGAATTCTGTTCCAATGGTCTGTTTGCTTATTCCTGTGACAGAAACTTATGTTTTTATTATTATAACTCTGTAATATACTTTCATATCTTGTAGGTTAATTTCCCTCTTTTTTTTTCTGGTGAGGAAGACTGGCCCTGAGCTAACATCTGTGCCAATCTTCTTCTATTTTTTGTATGTGGGACACTGTCACAGCATGGCTTGGTGAGCAGTGCATAGGTCCATTCCTGGGATCTGAACCCATGAATTCTGGGCTGCCGAAGCGGAGCATGCAAAGTTAACCACTATGCCACCAGGCCAGCCCGAGTTTCCCTCCTTTTTGTTCTTCTTTTATAAAATTGACTTTCTATTTGTGGACTTTATTCTTCCACATAAGTGTTAGAAAAAGTTTGATTTCCTCAAAAATTCTGGAATGTTAAATAGAATCGCTTTTATTGATTAATTGGGGGAGGACTGATATTTACAATGTGAATTAAGACAAAGAGAGAGCATTTTCCACTCATTAGATCATTAGATAATATTAAGTGCAGGTGGGGATATTGGGCAACTGTTTATGATTGAATGGTATGGTGCTGCCATTCCGGAGAGTAGTCGATCAATATTTCATGAAACTGAATATGTATGTGTTAGAATGCAGCAGTTCCCCTCAGGAGTTTTTACCCTAGAGAAACTCTAGTACAAATGCACAAGGAGACGTGCACTGGATGTTCATTGCAGTTGCTTATGGTAACCAAGAGTTGTAGACAACTTACATGTTCTTCATAAAGGAATAAATAAGGAAAATATAGAAGCATATGACTGAGCATGCTGCAAAGATCAGAAGAGATGAACTAGATTTTCATAGAGAACATGGATAGACCTCATAAATAAGGTTGTACAAAAGAATTTAAAAAGAACACACTCGATAGTGCAGTTTCATGTATGTAAATTAAGAAATGGACAGAATAATATCACATATTTTCAGGGATAAATGCATGTATGAAAGGTAGATTGGAAGAAGATATATTAAATACATGAGACAGAGCTTATGATGGCATGCAGAAAGAAAATGGAATTGGAGAGTGGGGATAGAGATAAAGGAAAAGGACAATAAATAAATTTAAAAA